TGTATCTGTGTGTATCTGTGTGTGTGTGTGTATCTGTGTGTATCTGTGTGTGTGTGTGTGTGTGTGTGTGTGCTGCTGCCTGCTGGTGGACCATGTTAGTAAACTAAACCCTGAGCACTGACAGCCTGGTTAGCTAGCTGTCACCATCACGCCTCTCCACATCTAGCTTCACTGAAACGTGTCAATGCAATGAGCCGGGGATTTATTGATTATGGCTAAACTACGGATTCCGTTAGCCGTCGTGGTTGTGCAGATGGTCCTGTACAGAACCAGTGAGGGTGAGTGACTGACTGTCTGTGTCCATAAAGCCCAGTGTCTTCGTCCCCACCGAGGAGTTAGCCGATAGCTAACGTTAGCTAGGTTAGCTAGCCTAGCCTGCTCGGTTGAGTTGAAATTAAAGATATAAAAAAACACTTCAGCTCTCATTCGTATACATCGGTGTTGTTTTAAGATAAAATAGCTTCCATGTTCCTGTGGCCGTCGAGCTCGTTAGGTTAGCCGGAAACAGCAGGTGAAAGGTGTGTTGAGGTAGCTGTGTCAGCTCTGAGGGATTTCAGTGTAAACAGAGTTTGTAATAATAATAAATAATGGTTATTTAAGGTACACAACTTCAATACCGCTGTGTGTTCCTCCTACAACCCTTCTCCAACACCTTGTTAGTGTTTCATGACCTCTTTGTTACCATGAAGCTAGTTACAGACCATGATGCCATGAGGACATTACTGTGTGTCAGGATTAAAGGAGTGCTCAAATGTTGATGTAATTCACAATGGATGTACTCAAATGACTCGTAGGCAGACATTAGTAATGTAATATCTGCAGCACTCACATAAAGGGGGTGAAACTCCTCACAATGCTGCTGTGAAGAGAGATAACACACAGATGTTAATATCGTTTTGCACTGAGTTTACCTGCATGAGTTGGTGAGTCTTGAGTTGTTTCATCTTTTTACTTTAGTGTGTAAGAGATTAAAATGTACTCAACAGCAGGTTACTGGTGTATTGGGCAGAGTGGGAGTGGGCGACTTGTGTAACATCGTTGTTTACCATCCATTATTGTCTTCCTGGAAATTCAATTGGAAACTGTTCTTTATTTTCATTATCATTTAAATTGATGATTATCTCCTTCAGTAATTGATTCATCGTTTTCCCTATAAATGATCAGAAAATGGTGAAAATGGTTATTGGAATAGTTTTGTCTGAACAAATATATTTACTTTTTGACTCACATTTGAGAATCTTATTTGATTAAAAGGGTTAGTCAATGATTAAAAGAGTTTCCGATTCATTTTCTGTCCGTTGACTAATTGATTATTATTAGATTAGTCATCAATCAGTAGAAACAGATTTAAAGGAACAGTTGCCACAGAGTAAATGATTAATATGTATGTTTTCTTGTATGTCCTCACATCCTATTATGGAAACTTCTCCTTTTTCTGTAAAACAGTGCTGGTAACACATTCCTTTGCATCCACACACACTGAACTGTATTGTCCACAACCATGAATGTTGATTCTGTGTCTTCTTGTTTTTAAAAGTATGAAATATGAAGTTGTTTGGTGTGTGGGACATGTCATAAAATGTGGCGTCTCAGTCCTGTTTTTGTTCTGGTTGAAAACAGAAACACTGGCAGAGCTTAAGCAGCTGAATGATATGAACTGTTGTGGACGTTTTTATGCCTCGGCGCGAGCGTCAGCCGTGGCCAGAGGCATTATGTTTTTGGGTTGTCTGTATGTCAGTCCGCCGCCCGTCCCATTCTCGTGAATATATCAGGGACTCTTTGAGGGAATTTCTTCAAATTTGGCACAAATATCCACTCAAGGATGAACTAATTAGATTTTGGTGTGACTGTGACCTTACAACACTTCATTCGATAATTATGACAAAAATTCACAGAAATGTCTGATAGAATAAAATGAAGTCATGACATTTTATATCCAAAAGGTCAGCTTCACTATGACTTCATAATGTTGTTATTATAGCCGTAACTCAGGATCAGAAGGATAGATTGTGATAATATTTCACATTTGGTCGGATACTGAATTGGTAACACTAATCTTGGGTGCTCACCTTAAAACTGTGGTGAAAATATAGACTTTCTGTGCTGCTGCTGCTGCTGCTGGGTTAAAGATTTGTGTGAAGCATCCATGTTTTAGAATTTGCAGCTTTTTTTGCAGCAACATCCATATTTGAAGCGTTTACTGTCACAGCTAAAACTTTATGTCCTATCAGAATCAGCTTTATGGCCAAACCTGTAAACACATACAGGGAATTTGGCTCTTTTTTGTTTCTCTAAATGAACTTACACACTAATAGACGTACAGCAGTATTAATTTAAAGGTTCAAAGGCGTACGAGGAACAACCGCGAGGCAGTAATTCTAGTTTTAGTATTTTAAAATTAAAGTGTTTTTGTTTTAGACATTAAGATTCAGAAAACTTTGTATCTTGGCTGTATTTATGCATGATAATACATATTTTCTCTTCTCTGAGGAGGTGGTTTGTGGTTTTAAAACAATCAATTTTTAAAACAATGTGGATTAGAGTTGTGACATTTATAGCTGTGGAAAGTATGCAATGTCTCATTTCATGTTTAGTCAGCATTTATCTTCCTTATTTCTTCTCTGGTTGTTTTGTTTCTCGTATTTGACTGCCAGCATCTGCCAAGTAGGTGTTGGAATTTAGTGAGTCAGTACCACAAAATTTCCCCGGCTTGACGTAGATAACACTGAAGTTCAGCTGCGTGATTGCTGGTTTTCTACCAAGCACATCCTGCACACCGGCTCCAGCAAGGTCATTTTCTACAGAGAATCCACTGGGGGCTTTTCCAAAATTACTGGAATGTCACATCACGTCTGTGTCTTAATAACATTACTGAATTTCACAGAGGAAGTCTTAGTCTGTTTTTAGTCACAGCTGATCAGTTACTGTCTACTCCTACATGCCCTCACATAAACTCTCCACCCATCCTCCCAAAAGCCCCTGCCACCCGAACACACCCCACCCAAGCTCTAACACTTCCTCTACTTCCTGACCTCGCCAGTACCATCCTCTGTCTCTCTGTGCTCACTTCTCTAGTTCATAGTGGAAAGACCGCATAATGTAACTGTCTAATCTTATCAGGTAGCTTCATCACACAGGTCTCCCACAAACCAAACTCCTTATTTTGTTATCATCTCAAAAAGTGAGATGTCACATGCTAAAGAAATCACAGTAGAAGTTGAAGTATTACTAGTTATTGACCTCTATGTTTTTGGGCTTCTTGTTTGTAAATCTGAAGCTTATCATGCACACTGTTACTGTTGGCTGTTGTTGCCCTCTACTGCACAGGATGTGTACTGTAAGTCCCTGTACAGCTGAGAAGAAAACAATATATTTGGCTCACACGTATGACTGACTTTTAGTGATTAGCATCAATAAATTCAAAGTCTGTACACACAATATATATCTGCAGTGCTCTCAGGCCAAAGTTTTTTAAGTTGTAGAAACGATTCTATTTCACACTGCGTTGTTTCTCATGCCCACTCCGTCTCTGCAGCTCTGTGGTGTAACTGCACCACCGCCCAGTGTGAGAAGTCTGGCTCCCAGTGTGAGACCGACGGAGCCTGCATGGCCTCCACTTCCCTCATTAATGGCCAAGAGCAGCACATCCGTATTTGCATCACGCGGGACAATCTTGAGCCCCCTGGACAACCGTTCTACTGCCGTGGTGCAGAGGGTTATCTCAACATCCACTGCTGCTATACTGACTACTGCAACAGCATTGACCTCCAAGTACCCTCAGGTGAGAGCTTGAAGTATCACACAGCACATACAGTATGAGCAGTTGCATTTACTGTTTGACCCTAAAGTTGTTTACCTGGAGTACCAACAAGCACTCCTAACGTACATCAAGAGAGCAAACCTTGTGCATGCATCTTTCTTAACTTAACTCCTGCAAATGAAAGAGTAGCCCAGTAATAACGTGCATTCATATATTGTCTGTGATGTTATCTAAAGCATCTCAGCACCGGTGACGGGTTTCCTACAAACATTTGTGTTTCCTGTTGTGTTCTGTACAAATATTCTGCACAGTGTACAGTATCTATCCCCCAGCTGAACAAAAACACTTTGGACCATATTTAAATGTTTAAGTTGCTCTACTCAAAGAGCTGGATATCCCCAAACTGTGAACTGTACAACATGGAATGAAAAATGGGTGTCAAAGTTTTCCCTTCCACAGTATGCACTTTTGGTGATCTTGGATTGATTATGGTCCCAGAATAATTTATACTACAGCCAGCTATAGGGATTTTAAATACAAATTATTCAAGGATCTGTATAAAATAATTAATTTGTCTAAATCAAGGAGATAAGGAGAAACTCAACAAGAGCATTACAAAGACAAAGCATTGCTGAAAAGAATGAGATCAACAGAGAGAGTAAACAGACTTTTACAGTTGTTGTAGCTGTAAATGTAATTTCAACACTTATTGTGTGTTGTACCGTTAAAACCTTTTAGTGTTGAGAATCCAGCATTTATTTTGTAAATAACTGGGAATAATAATCAATAGAAGTTAATGCAAGAGTCAAATTTGGACTCATTTCCCAAATGTTTTACACTGTCATCCCTCAGCAGTTTATATCAGGAAATGGAGTCAGTCTTACGTGTGTACTGAGTGCCAGGTGTTTATTTCTCGACTGCTCTCTTTTCAGTCACGACTCAGTCTGGACTGGGGGGAGGTTACGGCCCAGGTGGGACATGGGGCCTGGTGGAACTAGTCGCTGTGATTGCAGGGCCGCTGTTCCTGCTGTGTCTGCTGCTGGTGGTGGGCGTGTTCCTGTATCAGTACCACCAAAGGGCCTACAGCCACAGGCAAAGGCTGGAGGTGGAGGACCCCTCCTGTGACCACCTCTACCTGGCCAAAGACCGGACTCTGCAGGACCTCATATACGATCTGTCCACATCTGGTTCAGGCTCCGGTCAGTGTGAAAGCATAGTTGCAGGCCGGCACTCATGTTGCAGCTTACACTGGTTTTTGGCTTTGGCTGATGTCTGTTCTCATCTTTTCTGAGCAGGTCTGCCTCTGTTTGTCCAGCGGACTGTGGCCAGAACCATTGTCCTCCAAGAGATCATTGGTAAAGGGCGTTTTGGGGAGGTGTGGCGAGGACGTTGGAGGGGCGGTGACGTGGCGGTGAAGATATTCTCATCCAGAGAGGAGCGCTCCTGGTTCCGTGAGGCTGAAATCTATCAGACCATCATGCTCCGCCATGAAAACATCCTGGGCTTTATAGCTGCTGACAACAAAGGTGCAAGTCTGTAACATCACTAAAATAATTCACGGCAAGTTTACAGGTCATTGTACTGTGTTTTGTTTGTTCTGAAATGATACATTTTTAATTCTTTGGTATCTCTTTGTTTCTGTTTCTTGCCCAGACAATGGCACATGGACCCAGCTGTGGTTGGTGTCAGACTACCATGAGCATGGCTCTCTGTTTGACTACCTGAACCGCTACTCTGTCACTACTGAAGGAATGATCAAACTGGCTCTGTCAGCTGCCAGCGGCCTTGCACATCTGCACATGGAGATACTTGGAACACAAGGTAGTGTTTTGTATAAATGTGCATTTATATTTAAGCATATTTCTTTTTTTCTGGCTCCAGCCCTTTAATGAATATGATGGTACAAATTGTGACTCTCTCACCTGGAGATTCTCAGTTTTGTGTTTACTATCTGAAAATAACCTCACTAAGATCTTTGCCCAATTTCCTTACCACAGTTCACAGATTAAGGTAACACAGGAAACACTAAGATCTTACACTTGTAACTAAAGCTCCTACAGAAGTTAACATTTACTACAGCAGAGCACAATACACACGAGGCGAGTTGATCAAGGGCTAAA